ACAGCACACAGAGCGCAAAACTGCAAACTGGTCATCTTATGCAGTAAAGTGGACATTGTGTCATCACCCTCTGTTGGAGCCAAGTGTATATCAAGTAATCACTGGCTAAAAATCAATGGATAACAAAGCAACTATGAGAAAGCAAATCCTAGTTTTGGAAAAACTACTATGAAGTATAAAGGCATTACATAAGCCACTTAATAATTTAGAGGGTATAAACAATTGCCCTTATACATAAGATGGCAGACAGCCATTGTTTTTTCACTGCTATGAAGTTAAAAGTTTCTTTCCTGCAACCATGGCAACAGTATAGATTTTTCTTTACTTCTGGCCAACTACCAGCACATCTAAAGGACTGATAAGGTGATTTAATACAGGCCCTCCCACTTAATACTTATTTTCAGAAGACTACAGTACATGCACAGGTATGGCCACCCTAGAAGCTTTTTTTTATGCTTGCTGCACCATATTACCAGTATTAAATATAAAGCTTTTTCCTTTAGTAGTGATTTTTGATTTTAATCACTAGGTCTTTGCAGATCAATAATTGCCGAGATAAAATCTCAACCAGAGAGGGAGTACACTGCTTTTTATCTAATCTATAGACTTACATTGAACAGTAAAGCACAATCCTTGTACAGCACTACTAAAACCTGCATGTTTTACTGAAGTGCAACTCTAAACATGAAGGTCTTTTTAACAATGAAGAGCTGGGTGTTAGGTCATCTTTCAGGTTATTTTTTTACTGCAGAGTCCCACCGGAGACATTTCACCCCTAATTTGACATCGCTGTGTCCCTGTGAGAGATTTCCCCTAGTTCCTGTTCGGGTGACACTGCTGTATATGATCTTACCCCCCAGATCATATCCTGGTGATACTGCTATAACCCTAGATAGGACAATTTACCCCCAGATGCGGTCCAGGTGACACTTCTGTAACCCCAGGTGCGACATTTCCCCCGAGATCATATCCTGGCGATTCTGCTATAGCTATGGATAGGACCTTTCCCCCATATCCTGTCCAGGGTGACACTGCGGTGTCCTTGTTTGGGACATTTCTCCCCAGATTCCCACCTGGTGACACAAGGCATTGCAGGACACCCTCTCTAATAGCATCTGCCATACATTACCCTTGAGGATCCACTAGATGCGCCATGAAAAGCCTTAGCTGTACCCCCATAATTCTCAAAAGTTGACTTGCTTTTCTCTAAACTGACTGGACAGATGATGAATATCCTGCTAAGGACTGATCACCTATAGCCAGGAATTTACTACACGCTGGGTGCTGCAGTTTCCCATACCCTAATATTTCCTACTACCGCCTTTAAATCACAGTTTACACACCACATCACTTCTACACAAAAGTTTCTTTGATCACGTCTCAACTGTCCTGTGACGAGATGAGAGAGAGGCACACTGCCTCCTCCTGGTTACATAAGGTACACTGACAAACAGCCAGGGTTTATACTCCTTTAATCCCCTGAGCCACCGGCTCCTGCGATGGATTAGCATTATGTAAATAAGAATTTAAATCCCATGACACAGTCAAACAGGAGCCCCAGCCAAGCTGTGAGAATGACGTGCAGCCACAAACCCACAAAGCCATTTGTGCAAACCCCAAACTACTAGATTCCGCCTAACTGTTCCAAATCAGCAGAAAGATTCATTGCTGCCAGCACCTACAATGCACTGCACGTCTGCTACTCACATGAACCTAACGCAGTCCTAAACTGCCCATACACTGTTAGAATTTCGGTAAATTCACAGAAATCAAATATAATCCTAACAGTGGGTGGCCCTCCTGGCTCAAGATAAGTCTATCTCTCAATTGGTTTTTGTCAAAGGAGGCGGGCCACAAATTGTCAGCAGTACAGTGACTACAACCAATTAGATGGTTATTTTTTGGGTATTCCGACAGTGTCAGCAACCAGCTATCAGAATAGAATAGCCAGTCGGGGGGATTCCTCCATCCATGCTGTTTTAGCATGGATGGTGGAACCTGTTTACTTTATTTACAGTTTATTTTTATTAATCTGGCCATTAACTCATAGATTGCTGTTGCTCATCCTGACGGCTGAACATCAGATCGCTATTAGTTTATGGCCAGATTTACAATATCCTATAAAAGGAAAAACTGGCAATAAAAATCCCTGGTAGTCTTCATTAACATGCATTTACTGTATTCATTCAGAATGCTACTAAATTACTAGTCCTGGCCAAACAGATAAAATCAATAGATTAACTGATTGCTCAAAACTAGATACGAATATGAAACCATCCTAAAAAGAGTCCGGTAAGTAAAGATGGTTAAAAGGAGACCTATGAGGTGGGTGATTTACACTCATCCTCATAGTTTGAGCCGACATGTGACATTGAAACTGTCACTCTTCAGCTCTATTAATCGGGAAGTGAGCGAACACATATCGTCGCTCGCTCTCCGATCATTTCCCTGCAAAGAGCGGTCAATGTCAGTCCCTCCCCGCAGGGATTCCAACTCCGCCCCCTCCCCCCCCCCGATATGGAAGAACCGACAGGGGAGGGTGCAGGCACAGCTGGCTCTGCCTCTAGATAGGCAGAGCCCACTGTCAATGAGCCAGCAGGGTGGATCTCGACAGTATTGCCCGGATCCGTCCTGACACTCTCAGCATATAGCGAGCAATTGCCCGCAATATACTGACCTTTGGGTCACAGGAGGATGTTAGTATATGTCCTCCAGTGATCCTAAAAAGAACTATGGGATGAAAAGGTTACCCGTAGTTCTCTTTTAATAAGCGAGTTCTACAAGTAAATATTCTTTAACAGATTATACTATCAAACAAATCTATTTAGTCTTAGACAATTATAAACTCCCAACAGGAGCTGGGGTTAAACACTAAAATGAGTAAATGAAAGAACAGGCAATCTGAAATTAAATGAGTTTAATTAAAGTAGATCTAAACCCTAACTGGATGACATTTTGTTTGCTAAGCACAGCGTATCAAATAATTGTCATGGTTTTTTTCCGCTAAGATACGGTCTTCCCTTTATCATAATTTTTGTATCTCTATTTGTAGCTGCAAACCTCCAACAGTCTCTTTTAATCACTTCCTGTCTTCATGCACACACTTCAGTGTCGGCTCTACATCATTGCACAGAACTGGCTTCCTGGAACAACAATGGTGGACCACGTCTCAACAATGTGTGTCAGCACGGCCATTTATAGTCTCGGTCAGGGGTGCATGAGACTGAGTCACCCCAAAACAATAAGAGTCTGAACAAGGACCGTCATGGCAGAATTACGGGGTAGATTTCCAAATAAAGCTGCAATTCTCAACAGCATTTAAAATTGCATTACTGTTATACAGCTTACCTGAGATTTCAGTTACTAGGCTGAAATTTACTTCAACCTTACAGTACTGAAAGATAGACACAATCAATTACTGCTACATTCTGAAATCCAGGCAGGACAAAATACTATATCGGTGTCCTGTCCCCCCCTTCCAAATGCAGGATATATATGTGCAGGGCTCTAACAGAGCCTACTCCACAATACCCCAGGCACCCTCCCCGCTGCTTGCAGTAGTGATGACAGCCCCCTTCCCCTCCAGCTGCTCTACTTATCTGGTTGTGTTGCTACCCCTCCCTCTTGTCATCATCATTACTCATAACGCAGGGCCATACATTGTATGTGATGAGATTGGGGGGCCAACCGACATTTGAGGGGTTTAGGAACTCTGAAATGCTGTGGGTTAGGGGAGGCTGTAACATTATGACACAGAGGTCAACTGCATAACATTGATTATCTCTTTAAAATGACACCTAAAAGCGGTGGGATATATTAGGCAGCAAAGGAACATTTTGTCACTGAAGTTGATATGTTGGAAGCAGAAAAAATGGACACGTAAGGATTTGAGCGACATTGACAAGTGTGATTGTGATGGCTAGACGACTGGGTCACAGCAACTCCAAAACTGCAGCTCTTGTGGGATGTTCCCACTCTGCAGTGGTCAGTACCTACCAAAAGTAGTCCAAGGAAGGAAAACCAGTGAATAGGCAACAGTGTCATGTAAGGCCAAGGCTCACTGATGCACGTGAGGAGCAAAGGCTGGCCCATGTAGTCCGATCCAATAGAAGAGCTACTGTAAGTCAATTTGCTGAAAAAGTTAATGCTGGTTTTGATAGAAAGGTTTCTGAACACACAGTGCATTGCAGTATGTTGCGCATGAGACTGCAAAGCCACAGACCAGACAGGGTGCCCATGCTGACCCGTGTCCACCACCACAAGCGCATACAATGGGCATATAAGCATCAGAACTGGACCATGGAGCAATGGCGGAAGGTGGCTTGGTCTCAATTAAGGTTTTTTTGTTTGTTTTTTCATCATGTGGATGGCTGGGTGCATTTGCGTCACTTACCTGGGGATAGAGGTCACCAGAATGCACTATGTGAACAAGCCGGCGGAGCCACTGTGATGCTTTGGGCAATGGTCTGCTGGGACACCTTGGGTCCGGTCAATCATGTGGATTTTAAATAGACAGGCAACGCCTACCTAAACATTGCTGCTGACTAAGTATACCTATTTATGGAAACAGTATTCCCGGTTGGCAGTGGCCTCTTTCAGCAGGATAATGTGCCCTGCTACACTACAAAAATGGTTCAAGAATGATTTGAGGAACACAACGAGTTTGAGGAGTTGACTTGGCCTTCAAATTCTACAGATTTCAATCCAATTCAGCATCTGTAGGATGTGCTGGAAAAACAAGTAACCCACCTTGCAATTTGCAGGACTTAAAGGATCTGCTACTGATGGCTTGGTGCCAGATACCACAGCAGAGGTATAGGGGAGTCCATGCTTCGATGGGCCACGGCGGTTTTGGTGGCAAAGGGGGGATCTACTCAATATTAGGCAGGAGGTCATAAATGCTATGGCTGATCGGGGTGTATATGTACCACACAAGCTCCCTAGGACTGGCACTCAATGTTTGGCGCCTCATTTCACAAAGTATTTCAATGCATTCTTACCCTCTCCTTGCCAGAGATCTCTAGCTGAATCTCTTTCTCCCGTAGTTTCTTCCAGTTAGTATAATATTTGGTCACTGGTGTCCCCTCTTCCTTGGTTTCCTTTTCCCATTTGATCTGTAAAACAGAAAAGACCTGCTATTAAGAAGTGTATGTTTCTTTGGTACAGCTAAATACATAAAATGTATAATTTGCATAAATTATAAAAATAAACAGCAATAAGCTATCATTTTAGTGCGAGGATGGACATCCCACAATCCTCCAGCTGTTGCATTACAAGTCCCGTGTCTTTATAAGACACTGGGTGGTTTAAGACACCATAAAGTGGTTTATAATGCTAGAAGTCCAATTTTATACATTTAATAAAATAATAGTAGTCTCATAAAAGTTTGGCATATCCAAGTATGCTTTGCCGGTGTCTCCACTTCTGACATTTAAAGAGTTGTAAATACATAACCAGACTTCGTGCACCATGAGTTTTTTTATGTTCTAGATGTAATAATTAGTGTGCAACATTATGTATTGCTAAAACGGGAAGAAACCAGAGGTTTAAAGTACACCTGTCCAGAGGGGTGGGGGGCTAATTGGATAGTCTATTAGAGGGTGCCTATACTTTTACACCCCACTTTAGCAAGGTCAATGTGATTGTCAACATTAGTAAACAGACTTGCACGACTTCCACCCATGTGACAGCACCTGGTCGCTGAAGCCTCAAATGCAGTCTAGGTAGGAAGGTGACAAGCTGCAAGCTCTTTTATATGTGAAACAGTGTGATTATTAGAGTGGAAGGGGAGATCAACGTCAGAGGAGTGCGACATTGAAGCCTAGACAATGTGATAAGTTGGCTCACCATTTTTGTTTTTTTTTTATACCAAGAGGTCTGCTTTAAGAAATTAGAAGAAAAAAAAATATAAAGGAAGATTAACTGCTAAACATCAAAAATGTATAGTCACATGAGTACATGATGATGTAAACAGCACACGTGTAAAGTATAAGAACATATGCATCTAAAAATGTACACAAAGGGCCCGTTCACACCAGTGCAGTTCGCTATGGTGAGTTAAATGCATGTGCGTTGGTTCACACTTTAACATGCATAGCAATCAGGCATCACAATAGACTAAAAACCATGCATGCAGCATTGTCAGCAGCCTTAGCGCACCGCACAGTGTGCCAAGGTGGTGCGTTGCAGTGCCATTGAGGATAATTGGCACCGCATCGCTCAAACATGTTAAGGCACCTCATTAGTACGGACAGGCCCAAAAAATTTAAAACCGAACAATGGGTGCGAGGGTGGGTGCGTGGGAGGGAGAGAGGGGGAGAGCTGAAACATATACCAAATCAGCCACTACATCCAATGACCAGTGGGCTGTGCAATATTAGTTTGCCTCTTTAGATATACTGAGAAAAATAAATCTTTCTGAAAAAAGGCCAATAGTTACTAATTGTGAAACAAATCTTGTGTCAATACATCAAAGATCAGGCTGTGCGGGGGAACACAATGACTGTGATATTCCCTTGTCCCCCAGTGACAATGCAACTGGAAGCTGTTAAAAAACAATAAAGAATTTCCCTGTAATAATTAGGCCTCCTGAGAGCGCTCAGTCCGCTGTGTGCCATTCCTAAGTTACCTACAGGTGTCCTTTGACGTCATCTGACAAATGGAAGCCCCAGGATTTCCGTCAGACAACACCTACATGTGCGTAAGTAAGTACTGTATGCAAGAACAGATTAAAGTTATTGAAGTAGCAAAACTCTTAGTGTTTCCAGGATTGTATGTATATGAACATGACCAGCTTACTGTAATACTGAATGTATGTATAAATATTTATGTAATACATAATATGGATATACATGAGGAAAACAACATTTGCTCATTACATGCATATGTTCTTTTTTGTTTAGTAGTGCTGCACAATGACTGACCACTACTTCTTTCTCTCAGCTGAATCAGGTTGCATCTGTCTAAAACTTTCTATCAAGCAAAATTTTTCCTCAACAACCTATAAAGCTAAACTTTAGACACCAAAGAAGATGCATGTGCATAAATATTAACCAGGCACTTTTCTTTCCTGAAGTGAAAAAAAAACGAAAAAAAATTGTATTTGCTGTATTGCTTCCAGTCAGTCTGTGGGAGGGTACATATTGCTGTCACCGAGGGCGAAGTAAGACTGTTCTGAGTGATGTGTGGGTGACCAGCTTTCTTACGCATAACGTATCTCCTTAGCGGAGTGACCACCCACTTTACAGGCTGACTAGGTGTTAAAAGGCAGTAAAATCAGCATCTGCTTATCTAAACGGCTACATAGGACAAAGGCATTTTATGTAGGAATGATCAAATCTGCCATGAGGTCAGTTTTAAAGAGAATCTAGAATAGTGGGGGATCATCGTTTAGAGTGGAAAAGCATTTAAACTTTTATTTTTTTTAAACTTCTATACATGCATATAATATAATATATACACATATACAAGTTTAAAGTATTAATTTATTACATACCAAAGAATCCTCAAAGCACTACAAATTGGAGATCTCAAAGTAGACCGGCTTGCTTTGCAGCTCCCTTGGTTTGACTGAATCAGTCTGAAAAGTGATGTCACTGCTGTGAGGACTGATTGAGTTCTATAAGCAGCAGCTTCAACATCCGATACAATGCTTCAAAAGAGAAAATGACACTACAGCTCCCTCTGCTGGGCAGAAAGAGGACTACCTAAAACTAAAAAACTATTTTATACTTAAGGAAGGTATAGTCCGCCCTCCAAAGACAAATAATAAACACACACAAATACTTAAAGAAAAATCTGCATTCATTATTTTGTATTTGTGCAATGCTCTGGCTCCTGCAAACTCTCCCTCCCCTTGCTGAGGTACAGACATTCAGTAACAGGGACAGGAGGAAGAATGAACGGACTGTAAGTGCAATTACATCACTGCACTTGTATCCCATTCAGAACTACAAGTCCCTTTGTCAAAGGATCTGTGAATGGATGAAGTGGCTGTGTTGGCAGACAGCTTATACATACACTAGAATGTCAAACAATTACCAATCAGTACAAACAATACCCCCACATGATTAACATATTGCACAACAACGATACATAAGGCAACTACAACGTGACCACTACAAGTTGGAGAATGGAAGGTTCCGCTGTCCATCTGACACCTACATCACATCTGAACCTGTCCCCACAATAAAGTGCCCAGGGCTGCAACAACTAAATCGATTATTGAAAAAGTTGGCAACGTTTTCAATCATCGATTAATTGGCTTCCGATTAGTTGGCCCTGTTCACGGCTCCGCACACACTGCGTGCTGCACCTTCTCTCCACCTCACGCTCGCCGCTGCCAGACCCGCCCGCATCCACGCTCCACACGGCGCACCTCCTCCCCACATCCAAGATCAACACAGGGACGCGGGGAGAAAGAGGAGCAGGTGTGGGGGCATGACAGCCGCCGACAGACAGGCCCGATCTCAGAAGCAAGTTGCTGGAAGACTGCTCAGTTAAGCCCGCACTTTCCCACACATGGTGCTCTATAATGTATTGCTGGGATTTGCTGTACTTCTCTATAGCTGGTGGTATTCTGCATTGCGCTGTATAGAGGACTACAAATCCCAGCAATAGTATATTGTACAGTGGTACAATGCCAAATACCACTAGCTATAGAGGACTACAGAGCCCAGCAATAGTGCATTGTACAGCGCAATGCAGAATACCACCAGCTATAGAGAAGTACAGCAAATCCCAGAAATAGTACATTGTACAGTGGTACAATGCCAAATACCACTAGCTATAGAGGACTACAGAGCCCAGCAATAGTGCATTGTACAGCGCAATGCAGAATACCGCCAGCTATAATGTACTATTGCTGGGATTTGTAGTCCTCTATAGTCGGTGGTATTCTGCATTCATTGCTGTATAATTTTATACTTTTCATTTCACTATATTGCACACCACACTTTTTTCTTTCTTTTTTACTTCCACCGCTCCAAGTTTGCTCCTGTGATGGACTACAATCTCAACACAAACTAGGATTCCCATCACTGGAGCCATTTTTTAAAATGTATTTTATTTTTTATCCAATTAATCGAACTTAATAATCGGCTAACTAATTGATTTTGAAAATAATCGTTAGCTGCAGCTCTAAAAGAGCCAAAGTGCAAATGTGGCAATATAAATACTTACAAAGTGAAAACCCCTTAAAAAAGAAAAGGAGGTATATAGTATACGATATATAAAAAATGAGATGGTGTGTACTTTATTTGGATTTTAGGTTTACTGGCTCTTTAAATGAAAGGCGCACTAGCCAAGATTGGAGACGTTGAATGCAGGACATTTCAACTCTAGCAATGACATGCCAGTAATCAGAATGGAGCCCCTGACGTCTCTCCTCTTCCCGCAGACCCATACAGACCGAGCACGTCTCTAAGTGGCACCACTTGCAGTCCCCCAGCACAGCTCTAGCCTACTGCAGAGACCACAACACGTGGGCGTCTATGATCTGACACTTTCCCATTGCCGCTGTCCCTGCGAGGTGGTGCCAGAGTGTCTGTGGATGGCTTCTAGCACTCCCAGCCCCCTGATTTATATTACCAGCAGTCTGCCATTAAAATATTTATGAAGGCATTACATCCGTGCGTGCTGTTCTAGGGTTGCAGAGGAGATCAGGCTCCGTCAGCCAGCAAACAACAGAATGCTAATTATCAAGATTTATCTGCTCCCTTTGGAGACAGAGGTGCCTGCAATGTACTGCATTGCAATTCGTGGGAGGTCCACCAAGCAAAAAAAAAAACAGGGTCCAAGAGCATGGAGGTGGGCCTGATGACAATTATTGACATCCAGGGGACGGAAGGTCATTCGCCGGTTTTAATATCACAGTAAACGGATACGATTACACTGAGAGCATCCTACACATTATCCTGATGACAGTAAATGGCTTAGCAATTTCCTCTGCACTAAACACTGTCATTTGCTTCACACGTAGTATATCAGGTGGTGTGTACCCAATCTGACGGGATCTGCATGCTCACCTGTCTTAGGAGCAGAACTTCACAGGCTGTGTTCAGTTACAGGGTGATCCCATGCAACAAGATACAGTCAAATCCAAGAGATCAGACTGACACTATGCAAGGGAGCACACCAGGGTAAATGCAAAAAATAAAAATAAATTATTGAATATTAGTAGAAAATGGTTTAAATACGGGTTTGGAATAAAGATGGTGTGCAAGATAGGCTGCGCAGAAAGAACAACTCAGCCTTCAACAGTCTGTTGGGTGTAGCGGAGCAAGGTTTAAAGCCCGTGACACACTGCATGCGAAGCCATGCAGAGCGAAGCAAAGCCGTCAGGCAGAGAGCTTCGCATGCAGTGTGTGAGCGGAGTGCAGCCAGAGGAATGCCTGCATCTTCAGCCAATCGGCTCGCGCATAACAACTGGATGGCCTTCACATCGTGGCGCGCGGGTTTATACGTGGGAGCCGATTGGCTGAAGATGAACTTTTTCATCTCGGAACTCTCAGCTATGCGAGCTCTCACAAGCTGATGTGCCGAAAAGAAAATTACATGACACAGCTCGCGAAGGCAGCGCACCACCGCTGCATGCTGCTTCGTGTGCAAGGTAGTGTCACAGCCTTAATACTGACTCCCGATGCTGGCGACGTACACTGTACGTCGTCAGTCACGAAGGGGTTAATGTGACCCCGTCATGAATACCATAGTTGACACAAGAACACCCTGCAAAGATAGACTGTACCTTTCTCATGGCCTGCATAGCCAAATGCTGCTCCATTCAAAGTCCAACATTTCACAAGTGTCATTCCCCTGTGTGTCCTGCAAAGCCCAATGGTTACTTCCACTGACCTCAACATCACCTGGTATACATTGGTGACGGGGAGGAACCAAGAGACAGACGTTCCCGGAAGTGACAGTTTCCCAGCAGACTTCAGGGACCAGTCTTCTTGAACAGGGCAACATTCGGTGGTATGGGTAGAGGGACAGGAAAGTGTTCAGTTTTCATTTACAGAACATTCATTTTGTCATCGTTGGTATTCTTAACATGTCTAAAGACCAAGCAATGACACCTTCCATCTCCGGCACTACCTTAGCAAGGGGAGCTCTTTGCTGGGAAAAAATACCACATACCCTTAGAAAGTATCTGCTGCAGATGCTCCGAGTGTGGTTCTGTGCAAAGCTGGCCATACACTGAGCAAAGTTCGGTCAGTTTGCGATGACCTGGCCAGAGCCCATTCAGTGGGTGGCCGTGTCGGCAGCCTATCAGCTTCAGAAAATCAAAGGAGCCAGGCAGAAAATTCTCTGCTGCAGTCCCTGTTCGGGGATTCTGACCGCAGCGCACCCACTTCTGTCAGAACGCAAAAGCCACAGCGGGAGATTCATCCATTCACACTAAACAGGTGTCTCTTAAATGTTTTCTTTCAGCCCGCAGGCTCAATGAAAACAAAATCAGTGTATTGCCCGCTTCAGAATTCATTGTCTCTTGCTGTGTACTTTGGTATTAAGAAGAACTCCAGGTAGATTTTTTTTTAACCCTTGCAGTAGTAAGGCAGCCCCACACTGCAAGAGTTCATTGCTCATCTTAGTCTAGGGCTGAAGCTAAAATTATACTCACCTGATCCTCGGTAACGAGTTGCTCTTATACCAGTCCCTGAAATGTTTCTCCTCTGCAATGGTCTAAGGTCCCTGAGTCATCGCGTTCTATACACTGTGTATAGGCCATGAGGACGCTGAGGGACACTACACTGCTCCAGCGGAAGAGGAGACACTGTGCAGGGATCGCTGTCACACCCGGCCAGCTCGGAGGATCAGGCAAGTATAACTGTTGTTTTCAGCCCTAGAGCAGAACAAGCCGTTAACCCTTGCAGTGCTGGGGTAGCCCCGCTGTAGGGGTTAATAAAAATAAATTTAGCAGGAGTTCTTCTATAAGCTAATATTTATTTGGCCGTTTAGTAACGTATGTCATAGCTGCTCAGGGCGAATTCATCAGGTATGGTTCACAGGTAATAAGGCTGCCTCTAAGAGTAAGATCTGTTTTTCAGCCAAGCTATTGTTGTCACTACTCTAAATGAATCCTCTGTATATTCTAAATCTAATAGGATGCAAGCACCCCTGGTTTACATTTGACTTACTTTGTGGACAGGACTTGGCCACGCACCGCTAAACGGAAAGAGCCACACATTCTGGGAGAGCACAGTGTTTATGGCATGCAAAATGTCACAGTTGTCTACTTACCACAGCCTCCCTGTCAGACACCCCAAAGGTGCACTTCTGCCTTTTGCTAGTTATGTAGGACGAATTCTCTTGGATCTTCTCCAGCAGTTGGCGCATTGGCTTGCAATAATTGGATACTTTGCATTCCTTCAGGAAAGATTTCAGCTGCAAGGACAAAAAAAAAAAATTTTATACAAAAAAAATTCAGTGCCGCTAACGGCTTGCCAGCAGAAATCTTCAGGAACAATTAACTGATAAGGGACACAAGGATAGGATACAACATGACAACACTTCGGAGACATAAAAGTACACCCATCACAAACCTAAGCAAGTCAAAAGATGAAGAACGAAGATAAACAGAGGTTACCTTCAAGTAGAACTTCAGGGAACTTGCTTTTTTTTTGGATAGAGCGGGGATAAGTTCATACTGCCGTCACGTTTTATTATTCTGTCCTGGTTAGGAAGATTTAAAACACTTCATGTGCCAGTGACACAACAAGGAGTGAGGAAAGCACCCCAAGAGGGACACAGACATCAATAACAACCTTCCCAACTCTACTGGTTTTACTGCCATCTGTGTCCACATTGCAGAAATTCTCCTCACTTCCTGCCCTGGAAACATAACAGGAAGTTAACAGAATTCTCCACAACGATCATAGAGTTCTTGTTTTAATTACAGTCCCTGTTTGGCTGGAGTTCTACTTCTGAGAAGACCGCATGTCAGAACAATCAATAGAGCCAGATATCTAGGCTATTGAAGTTATACACAACCGTACACAGACCTTGCCTGTAAAAGCAGATCTCGGCACTGCCCCCAAACCAATTCCCACTCGGTCCTTCAATGTGGTGGCCAATTTAACCAATAGGGGGGCCCACCAGGAGTTCAATGGACAAAGGAAAGATTTATGCTTTAAGCAAGCCGCCACCGGCCACTGCTGCCAGAAGAGAATGATGACCCGCAGATGTCCCGAGACCCCCCAGAAGACGTGTATGTATAAGAGTATTTAAGATCCCTTTAAATATACTGCAGTTGTGCTTTAAAGCAGAACTCTGGGCAAGTCAAATCTTAACTGTTGCAGTGTGGGGCTATCCCCACACTGCAAGGGTTAAGTGCTTGTTTTGTCCAGGAAGTTAAAATAAAGCTCACCCGAACCACTATCCCGGCTGGCTCCTACACAGCTCCCCCTCCGCTCCAGCGATGGTCCCTCGGCATCCTCACGTTCTATACACTGTATAGAATCTTAAACCGCTGGAGCGGAGGAGGAGCGAAACTGAAGAGACCGGTCTAAGAGCAAGCTGGGATCGTGGTTCGGGTGACCATAACTTTATTAACTTCCGAGACAAAACGAGAACTTAACCCTTGCAGTGCAAAGGATAGCCCCACTGCAAGGGTTAAGATTTTATTTGCCCGGAGTTGTGCTTTAAGGAGAACTCTGCTTAACAATTACCAGTATAATATTAAAAATTGAGCTGCTCTTTCTTTAGAGAAGCAACACATTTTCCATCTGGTACCAGACACCCTGAAAAAATTGTGTCTGTGCCCACCCTCTCCCCTTCTATTATGTTTACTGCTGACATACAGTATATTGCCAAAAGTATTGGGACACCCCTCCAAATCATTGGATTCAGGTGTTCCATGAAATTTCCTTGCTACTAAATACTCCACGGTCAACTGTTAGTGGTATTATAACAAAGTAGAAGCAACTGGCAACAGCAGCAACCCAGCCCCGAAGTGGTAGGCCACGTATAATGACAGAGCGGGGTCAGCGCATGTTGAAGAGCGCAGAAGTCGCCAACTGTCTGCAGAGTCAATAGCTACAGACCTCCAAACTTTAGCATGGCCTCCAGATTGGCACAACAACAGTGCGTAGAGAGCTTCAGGGAATGGGTTTCCATGGCCGAGCAGCTGCATCCAAGCCTTACATCACCAAGTGCAATGCAAAATGTGGGATGCAGTGGTGTAAAGCACGCCGCCACTGGACTCTAGAGAAGTGGAGACGTGTTCTCTGGAGTGACGAATCACGCTTCACTGGCAATCTGATGGACGTGTCTGGGTTTGGCGGTTGCCAGGAGAACGGTGCTTGCCTGACTGCATTGTGCCAAGTGTAAAGTTTGGTGGAGGGGGGATTATGGTGTGGGGTTGTTTTTCAGGAGTTGGGCTTGTCCCCTTAGTTCCAGTGAAGGGAACTCTTAAGGCATCAGCATACCAAGACATTTTGAACAATTTCATGCTCTCAACTTTGTGGGAACAGTTTGGGGATGGCCCCTTCCTGTTCCAACATGACTGCGCACCAGTGCACAAAGCAAAGTCCATAAAGACATGAATGAGCGAGCTTGGGGTGGAGGAACTTGACTGGCCTGTACAGGATCCTGACCTCAACTCGATAGAACACCTTTGGGATGAATTCGAGCGGAGACTGTGAGCCAGGCCTTATTGTCCAACATCAGTACCTGACCTCACAAATGCTCTTCTGGAAGAATGGTTAAACATTCCCATAGACACACTCCTAAACCTTGTGGACGCCTTCCCAGAAGAGTTGAAGCTGTTCTAGCTGCAAAGGGTGGGCCAACTCAATATTGAACCCTACGGACTAAGACTGGGATGCCATTAACGTTCATGTGCGTGTAAAGGCAGGCGTGCCAATACTTCTGACAATATAGTGTATCATACATAGATCACAAGAAGAGAAGTTTCCTTTTAATGAGTTTTTCCTTCCTGGTTCAGACCCGCCTAGCTATGACATTCTAAAGGGGAACAGTCTGACAAAGGAACAAAAAATTTCAGTCCTGCATCGGTGACCAATGTCATTTTAACAGATAGATTTCTATTACATAAAGGATTTTCATTTTTTCATTTTTCTAAATTGTTATGATATGTGGTCATTTTATTTTAAAAATAACAAAGTCTTTCTCCATTTTTTCTTAAAAACCTCAGGAGCCGCAGACAGCCTGGGGGTCTCCGATGTGTCAACGTGTGGTCTAATAGATGACGCATGAAAAAAGGAGGGGGACAAGGGGGGCAGCTTTCCAAATTTCCGTGCTAACGTCAGCTCTGAGCGCTCGGCAGCCTAATCTGTGTGTGACCCGTACAGCACCGCATCTGGTTCTTCTTAGACGCCGTTACGTGTCTATCCCATTTCCAGGATCCGCGCGTTTTATAGCCCAGGCTAAGAGGGCGAATTAAAACCCCATCTCGTGTGTCGGCCTCACTACACCTGGCGACACGGAATGAAATAAGTCTCATTAAAGGGAAACTGGTTTGAAATGAGGACCTGCCAAAATTGCTGCATTCCAACAATGATCACTCATGCCCTGCAGAGGCATAAACATTCACAGCAAGTAGTACAGAATGCCCTCAAAAACTATGTGCCTTTGGCCATCTATGGCAGGCCTTCTTAAACTTCCTCCACTCGTGACCCCTGTTTGGCCGAGGACATTTTTCGCGAGCCCAGCATCGGACAGTGTCTTCCCCCTCCGCTAGCGTTGGTCGATGTCTCTCTCCTCTCCCCCTCTTAGCTTCGGTCGATGTCTCTCTCCTCTTCTCTCCACACCAACCTCCCCC